CTTGAGATACCACTTTTTATCCATCCATCAAGTTAGTTGAAATAATGTAGCTAGCATTGTCAAATGTTGGAGAGGATCAGTAAGAACTCACACACTGGTGATCAGGAGTATAAACATAGCAACATTGGCTGAGTGCAGTGGCTCATGCCTTAATCCCAATACTTTGGGAGGCCAAGATGGGAGGATCACTTGAGGCCAGGAGTTCAAGGTGGCAGTTGAGCCATGATCATGCATTGCACACTAGCCTAGAAGACAGAGAAGAGTAAACAAAAAAAATTGTTTTTGGAAAACAATTTAACATTATTTTATAAAATTGAATAGTGATATGGTATGGATCTGTGTCCCCACCTAAATCTCATGTTAAAATGTAATTCCCAGTGTTAGAGGTGGGGCCTCGTAGAAGGTGATTGGATCACAGTAGAGTCTTCATGAATGGTTTAATACCATTAGTATTGTATAGTCATCGTTCTCGTGAAATCTTTGTTGTTTAAAAATGTGTGGCACTTCCCGCTTCTCTCTCTTGCTCCTTCTCCTGCCACCTTGCTCCCCTTTTGCCTTCTGCCCTGATTGGAAGCTCTCTGGGGCCTCCTCAAAAGCAGGACTAATATGCTTCCTATATAGCCTGCAGGACCATGAGCCAATTAAATCTCTTTTCTTTATAAGTTACCCAGTCTTTCAGCGTTTGCACTGGCAGCTACTGCATCTCTCTCTGCTCCCCCTTCCTTTGACCCCCACTCCACTCGCCCGCCCGGTTGGTACTGCCTCCTCCATGGCCACTCCACCTCTTCCCTCCCTTCCTCCCTTCCTCCTCTCCTTTTTTCCTTCCTCCTCCCCCTTCTCACCACCAGAGTTTATTAACCACGTAACCTCTCAGAACTGAATGAAAACAACACTGTTCCTGGAACGCCCTTTTTTAAAGGAAGCATAACCCCTACTATAGAACCAAATGCACTGTGTATGAAACCTGGGGAAAAAACAATGTATAAGTATGTTGACCCTTACTCTCGGATGCAGTCTACCTATAACTACAACATGAGAGAAGGTGCTTATCCCCCAAGGTACTTTTACCTATTTTCAGTTCCGCATTTACTTTGTCAAGTGGAACTTTCTGTGGGAGGACAGCAATTTAATGGGAAAGGAAAGACACGACAGGCTGCAAAACATGATGCTGCTGCCAAAGCTTTGAGGGTCCTGCAGAATGAGCCGCTGAGGGAGAGGCTGGAGGTGAGAATCCAGAATTTTTCTGTTTTCATCCTTAATGTCAAGGAGAAGAAAATTGAGAGAAGAAGACATTTCTGATGATTAGACAAATGAAAAGATAAATGCAAAAAGACAGATAGATGGTAGCACTCCAGACTAATGATGATGGTGAGATTGTCTAAGCAAAATCTCAGATGCTGAGTATTCAGATGATAACAGATGAATTTCCCCAAACTCAAGAATCAGCTAGTGATCAATGTATTTATATGATGTACGAAAAGGAAACGTGGTATTCTTATCTAGTCATTCAACAGAAATGACTTCATCATGCAACATTTTTTGACAAGCTGCCCCATCCTGTTTGGATTTTTTTTTTTTTAAAGTATGTGTAACAACATTCTTTTATCGTTCATGTTTGGCCACCAACATTTATTTCTTACCACTTATTGTCAATAAAATAAGAGGACAAATGCACAAGGAAGTGTGTGTCCAAAGGTGATTGGAAGCAAATAGATATAAAAATGACAAAAATCACTGGATTGATCCTTCTTTTGGTGTTTACAAATCCAAAAATGAAAGCATTTTGTACTTAGGGAGCATAGAAGATAGCTTCTTTCTCTTCAACAGAATTATGAGTCTGTTTCAAAAGTAGTGTGTTTTGACAGTGCCAGTACATGAAGAATCTGAAGTCCTGATAAGTTAGAACCTATTGGAGATAGACTTGAAATCTGCCATTGCTACAGGTGGGCTGTGCCCTAGGTTCGGGTACATCAGGTGATGAGCAGTTAGTTGCATATAGAAGAACTTCCTTTTTTTGGGGGGGTATATACGCTTTCCAAACTAGAAACATTGGGATAAGAAGTTGGGTTTGCTATGTTTAAGTTCTTATTAAACTGTCTAATAAGGAAAGGTTACCCAGTCTGAGGTGTTTCTTTATAGCAATGAGAGAATAGACCAATACAAATAGTTCTATAGTCATAACTCTGCAATTTGCTCAAAGTATATAACCCAGAGAAGGTATTACAAAACAGACTAAGGAGACATGTACAAGAATATACAAAACATAAAAGGATCATAATTAATCGGGAAGGAGGGAGAAGAAGAGAGGGTGGAGGGAAGAAAAGACAGAACAACCCAAATGCTGTTAATAGGAGAATGAACAAACACAATGGGATATTATCAAAAATTAATTACATGCAATAATACGGGAGAATGATACAATGTTGGGCTCTCCTGCAATCTCGTGAATGCAGTTTCAATTTTTAACTGGTTAATGCTAGCATATGGAAAAACGATTGGCTTGTATACTTACCTTGTATCTAGACACCTTAACAAATTTTATTGTTTTTTTAAGGTTTAAAAAATATATAATTTTCAAATAGCTATATTTTTGCCCCTTTTCCAATTTTCATGTTAATTTTTAAAATTTCTTTGGTTCTTTTTGGATTATTTACTTAGCTTGAATTTCCAAAAATAATTTAAATAATAGAGCTAATAGCAATCATTCTTTCTTATTCCCAATTCTAAAATAGAGAATTTCACTATAGGTTACTGTTTTCTGGTCATGGTAATGTTTAAGCAGTTTCCTGCTGCCTGAATTAATTTAGCTTTTAAGGAATAGCTGCTGAATATTACCACATGACTTTTTTGGCATTTGTGGATATGTGGTTTTTCTTCTACAAGTGTCGATATAGTATGTTTATAGATTTCTTGATGTCGGGCTATTCTTTCCTGAAATAAAACCTCCATGGTTGTATTATTTATATGATATACTGGTAGATTCAATTTCTAATATAATTTGAAACTATTTTCATTCAAGAAGTTGTCTATACTGTTTTTTAATCTTCATCAGATTTTGGTATTATGATCCATAAATTGAGGAACTTATTGCATGTTAATTAATTTAACAAATTCTCTTATTTAAAAGTTGATATAGCCGGGCGCGGTGGCTCAAGCCTGTAATCCCAGCACTGTGGGAGGCCGAGGCGGGTGGATCACGAGGTCAAGAGATCGAGACCATCCTGGTCAACATGGTGAAACGCCGTCTCTACTACAAATACAAAAAATTAGCTGGGCATGGTGGTGCGTGCCTGTAATCCCAGCGACTCAGGAGGCTGGGGCAGGAGAATTGCCTGAACCCAGGAGGCA